CTCCTTCTTCCTGATGTTGCTGTCACTTGGCACTGCTATATCTATCACCACCGCTGTCTTCTGGTCTTTGTCTACTACCACGATGTGTGGTTGGTTGGCCAGTACCTGCCTGTCCGTCTGGATCCGAAGTCCGTCTGGATCTTAGCCCTGTTATTCTCTATGATCTTCTGTGGAATATCCTATCTGGACTTTGGGGGGACTAGCCCATACACTGTGCAGATGTTCCTGTACACAATGCCAGCTACTTAGTTGTGCCATTCAGTATATGCTGTTCCTGCCTGCTCTTACACCCTGCCACTACATATTGGACTATCTCAGAGGCCTCTCTGCACAGTCTGCACCTTGGGTCTTGTCTAGTGTGGTAGACCCCTGCTTCTATGGATCTGGTGCTTAGTGCCTGTTCTTGTGCTGCTATGATCAGTGTTTCAGTGCTCTTTTAGTCCAGCCCTTTTCAGCCACTGGTAGTATTTCCCAATGTCAGCCACTTATCTGTTGATGGTACATTCCATGCAGGGTCTTGTCTTGCCACGGCACTTCCTCTGCTTGAACTTCCTCCCATGTCTGCTGCTGTGTCAGGCATTCTCTTAGCAACTTATTTTTGGGTGCCATCTTACTGTACTCCTGGATGCTCTGGGTTTTGTCCAGGACAGTGTCTTTGACACCAGACCCCGCCTGCCCTCTTTCCAGCTGGTATATAGTCTCTGGGTGCAGGGTATCTAATAACTGGTAGAGTGTACGTGTTGATGGCGTGGATCTTGTTCTTATTGAGCTGGCTCTTCAGGACCTGTCTTATCTTTTGGTGGTACTTGGATGTTGCTGTCTTCCTTGCCTCCTCCTCATGGTTTCCATGTGACTGTGAGATACCAAGGTACTTGTAGCTGGTCTGTATGTCTGCTGTGTTCCACCCCATCAGTCTTAAATACCTTCCCTCTCTACTACCATCCGGCCACCCTTCTCCAGTCCAAATGATATCCCAATGTCACTGTAGATAGGTGTCAGTGAATCAGTGAGTCGATGTCTCATTCACTCTTAACATACAGCTTGATGTCATCCATGTAGAGGAGGTGGCTGATGGTAGTTCCGCTCTTGAACTTGTATCCATATCCAGTCCTTGTGATTGCAGTGGCGGTATCGTAGTCAATGAGGTTAATCCAAGGTGCGATTATTGCTGATTGAAAACTTTTCCCTCTCCTTAATCTGGAGAGGGCTTCCAAAGAGCTAATCCATTCACTGGCTCCTCTTTCCGCTGCAGCCATCGGTTCCACTCTGTGGAGCTGTCTTCAGTCCGCCATTGCTTGCCTGGAAGTCCCCATAGTGCAGTTTTCTCAACCTTAGCAACATGCTGGCTGGAGAATTCTGGGAATTGAAGCCCACAAATCTTAAAGTTACTAAGGTGGAAGGACACCACCATAGTGCATAAGGCTGCGAATTGCTTCGGATTAGATTCCAAGAAGGCCTTTGGGGCGGGGAAGGTGTAAACACAGCATCTATCTGTAGGTCCTAGCTAAGGATACCTTTCAGCTACAGGATTCACTATGAGATTCCTTTTTCTACTCAGGATGGAGGGGTTCCAGCCACATTCCCCCTTAGCTAAGACATGTTTTTTTCAGTGAGGGGGTAGTGCTCTCTTTAATAGCCATGTTTGTTTGTTTGTTTGTTTATCAAATTTATATGGCTGCCCATCTCACGCAAGGTGACTCTGGGCAGCATACAATAAAACCAACTATTAAAACAGAACATGAAAACCAGTTAAAACAATTAAGTAAAAACAAGATCACAAGAGGTTTAATTAAGATGCTATACATGGTGCAACCAATGCATGGGCACTCTGCTGCCAGGGGATACCTAGGCCTAATGAAGAAAACATATTTTGAGGGCTTTCCAAAAGGTCATAAGGGTTGGGGCTAACCTCGTCTCAGGGGGCATGATGTTCCAGAGGGCAGGCACCACAACAGAAAAGGCGTGTTTCCTGGGTCCCGTCAGATGGAACTAACAGACGAGACCCACAATATGCCTCTCCTGCTGGACTTGATAGGGTGGGAAGAAGTAATCGGGGAGAGGCAGTCGCTCAGATAACCTGGCCCCATGCCATATAGGGCTTTAAAGGTCAAAACCAGCACCCTGAATTGCACCTGGAAGCAAACTGGCAACCAGTGCAACTCACGGAGGTGTAATGGGTGTCCCTCTGTGCCACTGCATTTTGCACCAGCTGAAGCTTCCAGATACTCTTCAAGGACAGGCCCATATAAAGCGCATGACAGTAGTCCATTCAGGAGATGACCAGGGCATGAGTAACTGAGCAGAGCCTCATGATCCAGGAATGGGTGCAACTGACGCACAGCACAAAGTTGTCCAAAGGCCTTCCTGACCATGACTGCCACCTGCTCCTCAAGCAGGAATCGTTAGTCCAGAAGGACCCCCAGATTGGACAGCGGGTCTGTTTGGGGCAGTGCGACCCCATCCAGTACCAAAGATGGCAGAGTCCCAGAATCAGAAGGCCCTAAACCCAAACCCAGTCAGTCTTACCAGGGTTCAGTTTAAAGCCTGTTGTTCCCCATCCAGAATCCCACAGCTTCCAGGCACCAGGACAGGTCATCAACATCAATGTTTACACCTATCTATAGCACACATACAGAACTCTTTTCTAATACCATTTGTTCCTTAACTGGCCAGTAGGCTGTTCTTCATTGCTCCTAGGTAATTAAAAAAAGAAAATTAATTGGTCCTGCTTGCTGAAGTGGTAGAAAGACCAACCCAGCTAAGAATACTCTCCATCCATAGTAGAGGAATAAACTTCGTGGAAATCCAAAGTTCATTTCTGAGAATCTGAGACTGCGTTTAAAACTCAACATTCTAACCTTTCCCTTTTTCATGAAACAGGATTCAAGAGCTCACAGCAATGTTTCCAGTCTAAAGGAGCAACATTCACTATTCAGTTCTTACTATATAGCTGACACTTAACAGAAGCATTTTTTAAAAAATGTACATGAATATACAAGATGAGCATGAGAAGAGAAAAACTTTCTTCACCTCTAAATGGCACATGAAAGCTGTCTGCCTGGATAGTCTATCTGACATTTTACTCTGGTAGCTCTGGTCTCTGTTGAGAATTTGTTTCTATAATTTATCATGGAGCATGGTTGTAGGAAATATATAATTAAAAACAATATCACAAAAGCACTTACGTGCATCAGTAAGTGGAGCAAAATGACAAGAAGCAGATTAGCAGTTCTGTGTCAGAAATAATAAGTGGAGAATCTAATTTGAGCTTCCAAATTTTATTGTAAACAGAAAAGGTCAGAGTATAAAATTTTTATAAAAGATATTTACAGATTCATAATTAAAACAGATTTGGTAACGTTGAAATAGTTTCAAGTGTAATAACAATTCAGCTTAAACTTTGAAGCTTCTTTTACTATTGCAGCATTTGACCGGCTAGTATCTCCTGAAAATAAGCATAGATTTTTTAATTAGATACTTGTATTGCATCTTAGTTAGGTTCAGTTCATGGACCCAAAAGCACAGTCACAAATATCTAGACAGAGATCAACATTAAAAGCTTTAGCAAAAAAGAAACAAGTAGTAAATTGTTAAATGTTAAATGATATAAAATTTTTACCTTTAAAATAAATCCCCCACTGGGCTTTTTTCTACCTAAGCTTGCATTAGTAACTTAGTTTTTGAATTCCACACTAATATTAGGATAAACTAAAATACAGCCAAATAATGAGTTTTGAGGTCTCCAATATTAATAAAGGGTTAGAAGTCAATGGTGAGTCTGTCTATAGTTAGTCTTCATTTTAGGCTAGCAAATGGATCACTATGACAAGGCTAGCGTGCCTTTGCATTTCCTAACTTTCCTGCCTAGATTCTTTCATGTTACCAAAAAATATTTCAGTTCTTCTACCATTTTCTTCTACTAAAACACCTAGTATGTAAATGAAATACAATAGTCAGATCATCATCTAAGTGTAGCAGCTGATGAATTTTTATGAAATGTTGAGCAGTACCCTCTCTAGTCCTACTGCATCTCAGGAGCGCAGAACTATTTCCAGGCAGAGGGTTGCATGTGGCCATGACTGGCCTCTGAGACACATTCTTGGGGCCATTCTTGGGGTGGAGCCACGGTAAACACTAAATAAATTTCAGTTTACATTTAAATTAAAACAATTAAATGCACTTGAGATGATGGTTCCCCATGAAATCCGTTTTCCGCTTCTGCCATGTAAAAAACAGACTTGCTGCAACTTTTGGAAGGGAGCTACATTAGGGCCTTCAGATGTGATCTGTGATCTTTGGCTCTCCAGTGGTGGAGCCAGATCTAATTGGATAACCTTCATAAACCCAATATTGGTCATCCCATGTGGCAAAGTTAACTGCTGAATGCAACCAGGAGCCAAAATGGGACCAGGAAGGAACAAAATAGAGGCAATGGCATGCTTGAGAATCTCAGCCTTGGCATCCATTGTAGATTCCAAGTATGGAACTATATGGACTTGAATATGAAAACCAGTCAGCCAAAAACCACCACAGAACTCACTGCTAGACTTCCTAACCCTTTCTAGAAGAACTGTGAGTCACCATATTCCCCAGTTACTTGAAGTAACTTGTGGAACTCTTGAACTGCACCATTTTGGTAAGAACTAGCTCTGTATATTAAACTTGGATTGCACCAATTTAGAATACAAAGAGCTCTAAAGGAGGAGTCCGCTGTGCTCATTCTTCACGTATGCAGCATGTCTTTGCGGAGAAGAGAGACGATGCCACTGGTCACGTCCTGATGCCTCACTGACCCCATAACCACTCCTATAGGTCTACAGACTCCTAAGTGTACAAGGTGCCAATTTACATGACTACCATTTACATGGCTCAAGAGTCCCTTTGCACATGTCGAACACAAAAAAATACACTGCAGAATCAGTGGTATACTTGAAGAAGGTCCAGCACACAGTCCACTTCTTTCCATATACAGAACATGTCGTGGGAAGGAAGTGAAGAAAGCTTTGTTGTGTAGAAGCAGCAAATGTTGTAGTATGTACAGGGAAATGAGTGCATGAATGAGAGAATAGGCCAATTACTATTTTAGACATAAACAAATGAATATTCTTTGCTATTCTGAGTTCTAAACTTGAGAACAGATTAAATCACTTACTTGATTAAAATTATTGCTCCACTTCAGGCTTGAGGTATGGTGTGCAATCAGCCGTTTTCTTAAGGCTGATGGCATCAACTTTTTCTGAACACATGGGACATATGTTTTCATTCTGCAACAAACTTTAAAGAATATGCTTTCACTACCTTTCATAATGAGTATAATTTATGCAGGTTGCAAAATAGTATGTCAATTTCTTTGGTTTTATTTGTCTCTCCATCAACTGATCCACTTCAATGCCTTAAAATGGGTCAGGAGAAGGTTTTCTGTTTCTCCAAGCAGTTGGTAGATAGGACTAAAATTGCTAGTGTGCAAGTCTATGATTTATTATTATATTTTTAATCTCAATAACTAGAGGCTACATGTCCCAAAAACGTTAATATGCCCATGTTTCAACAAATTTGGCATTTTCCAAATATAGAGAGGGGACCAGAAGAAAGTCAAATAGAAGGACAATATAATATACTTTATAACTAATTTCACATACTGCACAGTATTTTGGTAAAATCAACTTACTGTCTAAACTGAACATTAGAAGTACCCCGGCAGATTCACAGACAAGTCCAGACATGTCTGTGTGTGTGTACAGAAACACACACAAAGTAAACTCTAGCTTTATTTCTTTTGTGTCTTTTGTGAAAAGAACCATGTCAAATGTTTGCTCATTTCAACAGCTTAAAAGTGCTTTGGAGGCACGTGGTAGTGTCAGGAAGAGAAGGCTATCTTCCGCTTAAATCCCTTTATCTGCAAATATACAATGTTTTTAAAACCATCATGTCTCTGCTGGTAGCAGAAGTTATCCCAGTTACTCAAGGAAAATGATGTTAAGCAAGCAGTAAGATCTGTCTATATGGTGATTTGCCTGTGCACAAATTGGTTTAAAGTCAGGGTAATACTTCCTAAATGGATCATATATGTTATCCTAATCAATCATTACTCAATAAAGAAAATATAAAACAAATGTGTATATGTACTTTCAGATCACACCTAATACAATATATAGGATTTTTGTAATGGAGCTTCTGGGAAAAATTGGCTGTTGTCCTACAGACACATACGCGGCAAAAAAAAATCTTTGGCTGCTGTTGGTTGAAATAAATGATTTAGGAAGATGAAAATGATAAAAATTGTGTGAAAACAAGAACTGTAGATGGTCAAGAGCCAGAGAAATAAGGAGCAGTAAATTTACATTTTGACTTGTAGAAATCAAACAGAAATTTGTTGCAGGTTTATAGAACTGCAGTGGAAAACGTTCTTTGCATGTAACTAATCTGCAAATGAAAAAGATTCCAACTTACTTTTTGAACTCTGAATAGAGTGCAGGGAACTCACAGTGGGGGCACAGAGTCCAGTCATCTCTAACCATATGTCGTCCCTGGAAGGAGTGCAATGTGGTGACAAGTCAGTATCCAGTGGAAAGGGCCACAGCAACTACAAACATTAAGTGCCTTGTTTGTAATTAATTATGCTTCACCAGAGGCGCTACAGGGAGGCAAATCTCAAAGAGCATTTTAAAGCACAAAACTGAGATTTTGTATCTCAAAGCTAAAATTCAAAATGCAAAGTAGCTTCACTTAGCCTTTCAGCTTCAGAGGCTGAAAAATGGAAAGGCTGAGGCCCTTATTTATGAGTTACCCGTTATATCCAATGTACTTACAGTTGCAATGCAATATGGGAGGTTGTTCTTACAGCCTGGGCAAAGAAGTTCACATTCAGGGAGCATGAATTCACAATATGGACATGGCGAGGTTGGTTCTTCACCTTCTGATGTGTCAGGCCGTCTATTAGCAAAACATAAGTCCATTAAGAACTGACCAATTTTTACCTCTTAACATATATTAAAGTAGCACAATTGCTTTCCTTGCCTAAAAGTATACTGTGATCTCCTAATCACAGATATGTTTGCTCACATTGCAAGAATCTTCGTAATGGTTCTTACCCTCAGATCTATTTTCAATGTTATTGTCAGTAGAGGTATCTCCCTGCTCCATACACTGCTAGCTAAAACAAGTCTAGCTTATTTCTTTCAGATTCAATAAGCACACATAAGAATATATGGAATATCAATGTTCTTCTGCTGGTTGCTCTGGAAGCAACTTCATTGTTGGCTTGTAAGATAAAGCAACCCTCAAGGTGAGTTTGACTTGGTGATACACAGTCATGTTCATGATGTTTTTTTTTTTTTTTGTCAACTAGCCATTGCCTTCCTCCAACTTTAATGTACAACCCAAGAATTTCTTGCTGGTTTCCCATCCAAGTAGTCAGTCAGTCTTAGTATTATGGTCCAAGATCAAAATAATGGCATGTTAGCCATCGTATCTCATTTCAAAGTGCTTAAACAAATGGCCAGGAAGTTGAGTAAAACCCTATTACAAGAGGTTCTTAAGGTACCCTTGAGTTAGAACTGTTACAGTAAATTTGGCATTGATCAGATAAAATATATTCAACATTGACTTCATTGGGCCAACCGAAGAATTTTGAGTATGGAGCACCACTAATGTATTTTGGGCATCTCTATGAAACAAGCAATGTGGACATGGACTAAAGAGTCCAGTACTTAGGCTTCATTCTCCAGTTGTAAGGGATCTTTTAAGAACTGTCTTCTCGAGTAGGCAGTAGAGTATCAAATGCAGCAATGAGCAGTAAAGATTTGGCTGTGCTCAATTTCAGAGTACTTATTTGAGATCATAATATAAGCAGTGCCCTGCTGGATCAGACCATTTTGTGCAGTAATCTGTTCTTACAGTGGCCAACTGACTGCACAAGGAAGCCCACTAGTCTCCCAGCCAATGGCCTTCAGAGGCAGTCACAGTGCCATGATGGCAAGTAGCCACTGATACCCATGACTTCCATGAACTGGTCCAACTCGTTTTTGAAGCCAGCCAAGCTGGTAGCCAGCACTATATCACATGGCACTGAATCCCAAAGTTTATCTAAACTTGATCTAAGCACTGCCCTCACTTGATACGATAGCAGATGAGCTTAACTAGGAATTCTGGAAGGCATATGGAATACAACTCTTATGCCTTCTCTCAGCCAGAAAAATCCCCTCTAAATATTTAAAACACATCTTTTGCTTGATCCTATGTCTTCGATACTCCAAATCCTGAACGATTACATCCTCCTTCTATCCCAGTGAGAATTCAGTAGGTAAACCCCGTAATGCAACTGTGACTCTAGCAATTTTTTTCAGTGTCCTCTAATGATGTGTGGGAAGCACCAGTGCTTGTGAAATATGCTATGCTACAATGAGAGGTTTCTATGGTTGAGATCTCACTTGGTACCCTTGGTAAGCAACTGTCATCAGGCTAAGCACTACCTAGTCATATAGAGATGGAAAAACCTAAGAGAATATGTTTAGGAGAATCACACAATGGAACCGGTGGTGCCACAAATGGCATGGAGAGGCCTTGGTAAGGAAAACATACAACAGCTTAGTTTCTCTAATCAGTTAATGGTGAGGACATCCTCTTAATCTTACTCATGTTTTATTTTTTTTAAAAAGCTCACTTTTACATACATTTACCAGAAGGAAGTTTCCCTAAATTAAATGGGATTAACTCCAAAGAAATTTGCCCCGCCTCCTGCGCTCGCCAGCTGGGCTCTGCCCTAGGAAGGAGGCTCTGGCAAACCATTTCCGAAGAACAGTTGCCTTGAAAACTGCAAGGACTCGTCCAAACAGTCACTGCAGGGTCAGCAATGACTGAGCGCAGACAAAAAAAAAAAAAAAAAGTATACACAGACTAAGTTAGGATAGACAGGATTATCTTAAGAGTCCAGTTATGCATCAATTTATTTATTTATTTAATTTATATGCCGCCTATCAGTTATCCATCCATCCATCCATCCATCCATCCATCCATCCATCCATCCATCCATCCAT